CTATTGATTATAGTTGATTGTTCTCATCTGCCCATGATTTTTCCCGAATTGGGTTTCTACATAAATTCTCGTGTTCTTATTTTCTTCTTCTTTATTTCATTATTGCCATTATTTTGCTATCCATTTCATAACAAGTTTAAAACACAATTAGTTTTTTCATCCAATCTTTTCTTTCCACATCATTTCGATCACTCCTGGTGGATTTCTTCTATTCAAACGGCACAATCCAATTAATATTTATAATTGTTGAAATTGTTACATTCAATTTCCGATATTTAAATGAGTGTGATGAAATTGGGAAGTATACTTGTTTTATTTTCTTCATTTTTCTTGTAAAATGTAATGGTTAGTCTCGGAGATTTCTATGCAAAGGTTCTGTCTATCAAAATCATAGTATATGCAATCCGTTTTTAGTTTCTTGGGGTATTATTTTGAATTAAATATGCCTAATGAGGTCTGAAAGAAATAGAAAGAAGATTAGTTCACATGGATTAATTTGTTATAATTTATTGAAGCAAATGTGAGCTTTATGTGCTTGGATGCCATACCATGTTAATAAATCAAATGAGACCATTTATATATAAAATGTTAGAACATGCAAGCCATTACTAATGTTTATAGCCATCCAGGGCTCGTATAGAAACAGTCAAGCTAGGTCAATGAACCAATGGTCAACCGACAACACATCTGTTGGATTATAATTACTCTTTTACTATGAAATGAATGATAAATTTCTAGGGAGTTGATGATGAAAGACATGAAAATGCACAAATCTAACAGAAGGAGAATGTTCATATCAGTGAAGGCCTTTAGAAAATTGGTTATTTTTTAGCTAGAATCAATCACTAATGCAAATCATATAAGGCTCCGATATGTGTGTGTTAGGGAGAATTTTTGGTTTAAAATGTTGAAGCCACCACAATTTTACGACTGATTCCAATATCTATCTTCGTAAAAGTAAAATCATAGAATGCTTTTTTGCTTTATGAAATTCATTTTTTGGAATCTTCAAATTTCTTTTCTGGTAAGTCCCACTAATTTGTTAGATAAGTACTAGTGGGATCTGTTGTGGTGTGATCCAAATTCCATGTGATTTGGTATTTGATTGATTGGATTCCATGTGATTTGGGATTTGATTAATTGAAGAAAGTCTAAGGTAATTAGGTTTGTAGAGTCCTAAGTTGTGAAAATCAGGAGGTGCTGTGATTATGGGAAACAATGCGCCTTGTAAAATTGTCGAAGTTGGTACAGTCAGAATGTTCAATTGGGCTATCAGAACACTTACAGATGTAAGATATGTTCCAGAACTGAAGCGAAATCTCATATCTTTGAGTGCATTTGACTCAAAGGGCTACAGATACATCGGTGAAGGTGGAGTTTTGAATGTGAGCGAGGGTGCCCTTGTTGTCTTAAAAGGGCATAAAAACTCCATGCAGTTGTACATTTTGCACGGTTCTACAGTAATTGGAGATGCATCAGTTTCTACTTCTTCTATGACAAGTGATGAAGTTACAAAACTTTGACTTATGAGGCTCAGGCATATGAATGAGAATGGGATGATAGAGCTGAGTAAAAGGAGACTTCTTGATAGGCAGAAGACCAGCAAAATAGAGCTTTGCGAGCATTGTGTATTTGGAAAACAGAAGTGAGTTAGATTTACTAGAGGAAGACACAACACGAAGGGAACACTTGAATATATCCATTCAGATCTTTGGGGACCAGCCAAGGTACCATCTAAATGTGGCTATTATTACTTGTTGACAGTAATTGATGACTTCTCCAGAAATGTTTGGGTATTTTTCTTGAAGTGGAAGAGTGATGTGTTCGAGACCTTCAAGGAGTAGAAAATATTGTAGAGAAGCAGACAGAAAAGCAAGTGAAATGTCTACGCACTGATAATTGGTTCGAGTTTTGTTCAGATGAATTCAATAGCTTCTACAGAGCTGAAGGCATCTTGAGACACTTGATAATACCTGGAACTCCTCAACAAAATGGTGTAACAGAGCGGATGAACAGAACCTTGATGAAAATGTTCGCTATATGCTTTCAAATTCTGGGTCGCCTAAGTCTTTTTAGGCTGAAACTGCTACTATAGCTTGTTTTCTGATTAATCGCTCACCTTCAGTTGTCATTGATAAAAAGATACTAGAAGAGGTTTGGTCAGGTAAACCTTCTTGCCATTCTGATTTAAAAAATTTTGGGTGTCCGACTTATGCTCATGTGGATAATGGGAAGTTGGAGCCTAGGTTTAGAAAGTGCATTTTTCTTGAATATAAATCAGGTGTGAAAATGTATAAGTTGTGGTGTCCCGAGACTAAAAAGGTGGTTGTTAGTAGGAATGTAGTATTTGATGAACTTGCTATGGTTTGTGGTTCACCTCTTGGGAATTCTGACATAGCTGAGGAGCAAAATCATTCAACTAAGGTGGAGTTAGAAATTGGTTTAGAGAAACAATTAGAGGTTGTAGAACTGTCTACTACAGATGAGTCTAGTTCGGGATTGACAGACAGTAATATCGTGCCTACTTTGCCTATATCACAAGTACCACAATATTCTATATCTAAGAATAGACTTCGAAGACAGATTAGACCTCCACAGAAGTATGGGGAAGCAGATTTAGTAGCTTATGCATGGAATGTGGCTGAAAACATTAACTCCACTGAGGAGCCTGCTACATATTCAGTGGCAGTCAATTGTAGTGATTTTAGCAAATGGATGATTACTCTTGGTAGATGTGCTATCAGTCGAAAAGTTACTTTACAAAATATAGTGGCTTTGTCTACAACAGAAACAGAATATGTGGCCATTACAGAAGCATGTAAGGAGGCTATGTAGCTGAGAGGATTGATTGGTGAAATCAGTAAAAACTTGCAGATTTCTACAGTTTTCTATGAGAGTCAGAGTGCAATTTTCTTGACTAAGGATCAAATGTTTCATGAGAGAACTAAGCACATTGATGTGAGGTACCATTTTGTGTGTGATGTGATTGCTCGTGGTGATATTGTAGCGATCAAGGTTGATAGCAAGGATAATCTTACTGATATGATGACAATACCACTTCCTATTGCTAAGTTTGAGCATTGTTTGAACTTAGTCGGTGTTTGTCATTGATTTAGTCAATTGGAACTTGTTTGGAAGAGGATAAATAGTGTTTACTTGAAGATGTGTTTTAATTTCTTGTGATAGAATTTGACTCAAGGTGGAAATTTGTTGTGGTGTGATCCAAATTCCATGTAATTTGGTATTTGGTTGATTGGATTCAATAGTTTTAAGCTATTCAATGTGTTGTGATGTGATCCAAATTCCATAAGATTTGGTATTTGGTTGATTGGATTCCATGTGATTTGAGATTTGGTTAATTGAAGAAAGTCTAAGGTAATTGGATTTGTAGAGTCATAAGTTGTGAAAATCAAATTTCAATAATAATTAGGAGTTTGGCTTGAAAAGAGACATTTGGATGCCAAAAAGGCATGTTTTGAAATATTTATCCGAGACCTAGCGCCTGAGCGCTAGTGCCCAAGTGCTGTAACAGTAGCGCCTAGATGCTGCAACAGTAACCTGATTGCGATTTTTCCGTTTTATCTAGATTTTGGGACTTCTTCTCCATCTTGGACTTCAATAAAAGGGTTTATATATATTTCCACATTGTATCTCCATTATATAATATTCATATATTATTCTTTACATCTTCNATTCATATATTATTCTTTACATTTTCAACAATATATTGAGAAATTCAGAGTTTAGATTTCAATTGAGATTATTGAAATCTTGATATTGTAAATACAAAACTATTGATTATAGTGGATTGTTCTCCTTTGTCCGTGGTTTTGTCCAGAATTGGGTTTTCATGTAAATTCTTGTGTTCTAGTTTTCTTCTTCGTGATTTCATTATTGTCATTATCTTACGATCCATTTCATAACAGGATCACTTGCAGAGCAAATTTTTATTTAATTTCTTCTTCTGCTGAAGTGAATTTCATCTACATCATTAACAAGAATAATCTTTTAGAGTACTGTTGAATATATGCCCGTATTCCAAATGAAATTATTGAGTTAAAAGATACCCAAAATATTATTCCTTTTCTATCTGCTATGTACACGAGTTTAATAGACTTGGGTTCACCATGAACTTTTTATATACCTCCTGTAGAGTAGTGGACAAATTTGAATGTCCTATCCTAGGCGAGAATTATATTATTGTTATTATTATTATTATAAATAATTTTGCTTTGGTTTTGTCACGAGATCGTCGTTCATTCCTATCCAGTTAAAGAAGCGTTATAAGATTGAATGTTGACATATTCTTACTTATATTTGAAGACTTCTGGCATATAAAAAGAAAAGAGATATGATAGATATCTGAAATTGAACACTCATGTACTGTTCATCCATCAATATTTCGACTTCCTTACCCCGATACCATGCCTTTCATGAAGGTTCTTAACCATGAATAAGAATCATCGACACAAGTGCAATAGTAGTTGGAGATTTAACAGAATAGAAATCGGAGTCTGCTTGATATTAAATTTAAAGGTTTTTGTAAATGAGAGGAATACAGCAGAACTACGGATTTACCAATGATTTTGCTACAGAATTTCAAGACAGTTTTCCCCAAAGTTGTGGCAATCCGCAGCAGTCTAATCCCATGGGGCTTTGTTTTCAACCAGTAGCCACAGAAAATGGCTCAGGCTCACCACAGCAGAACTTTTGGTCTGCAAATTCATCCGGCTCCATCATCGGCCGGCTTGGATCACCGGCTTCAGCTTTCTATGCAACCGAGCGGTATATGGGCTTAACACAATATGAGAACCAAAAAAATAGTCTGTATTCTCGTTGCTCCCAACAATCCAAGAATTCTTATCAACAAATACCTTCGTATCAACAGTCTGGAAATGGCTTCTTTGGAGATTCGTCTGAGCAAGATTTCGAGTCAAATAATGCCTCCATTCCATCGGTTATGAAAACTCAAACATCACACGATCAATTTGTCAGTTGTGAAAGATCCTACAGAAATCCTTTCAGAAAACTTTCAGAGAGTGAACAAATACTGCAACTAAAAAACAAGCTGCTAGGTGATCTTGATAATTCAAATAGGAGAAGCCCTTCTGTTTCATTTGATGCAAATCAGGATCTTGGCGTAAGTCTTTCATTTCTCGTCTCTCATTGATGCTACGAGTTTCAAATTAATTAGTTGATCAGAGATATTCACACAGGTGTCTCAACATCTGTATGGTTCCCATTTTGAGCATCTAAAGCAGTTGGGAAGTCTGACTGGATGTTTTTCGTCTGCTTCAAATCATTCTGCATCCAGTGGAGGAGCAGTTTCATCGAGTAAGTCGAGAATCAGATGGACTCAAGATCTTCACAATCGATTTGTAGAGTGCGTAAATCGCCTTGGGGGTTCTGATAGTAAGTGATTTGATATTTATTCAATTTTTTTTCAATCTAAGACCATCATATACTGATTGTTTCCCCATTCAAAACATAGAGGCAACACCCAAGGCAATCCTAAAGCTGATGGATTCAGAGGGACTTACAATCTTTCATGTCAAGAGCCATTTACAGGTATAAGTCCCAAAACTTTTCATTACTTACTATCTGATTAATTTCAGGAATCTGAATTGCTATCTTTTAATTTTCATTATTTATTTTCTTTGCAGAAATATCGAAATGCAAAATGCTTGCCTGACTCTGTTGAAGGTAAATTTTACCTCTGCCGATTCTGCTAGTCCATTTTTGAGTTGGCTCTAATCTGATACTATTTTCCTGCAGGAAAATCTGAAAGGAAGACAAGTGCCAATAACGCTGCACGGTTTGACTTAAAAACGTAAAAATTCCTATGTCAATTTGCTTACTCGGTTGCAATATTATAAAATTCGGTGAATCGCATTTCACGTTTCTCATGGTTTCCTTTTTGTGCAGTGGTATGCAACTCAAGGAAGCACTGCAAGTGCAACTAGATGTTCAGAAGCGTCTTCATGAACAACTAGAGGTAGTTCTTATCTCTATCCTCAGTATGATCAAAATAAGTTGCTTATTGTTAAGTGAATTTAGCTTACTTTTCCATGGTAGATTCAAAGAAACTTGCAGATGAGGATTGAAGACCAAGGGAAGCAGCTGAAAATGATGTTTGATCAGCAACAAAAAACAACTAGAAATCTCTTTGATTCCAAAAATTCAAACCCAAATCTCAACCTCTTCTCGACCTTTGAGGATTCACAGATTTTGGCTTCAGGAGATTCAGATAATAATTTGGTCTTCCCCTCCAAGATAATCTAGGTCCCTGCCAGTGCCATAGTTGAAAATGTAATTGGATAAACATTACATACATTAGTCATGTACATGTTTCTTTTTATCATCCTCTTGTGTGCATCCAGAGTTTTAAAGCACAGTTTTATTGGAATTCTTTTTCCATTAATTTTGTGGTGGAAACCTCTGCTCTTGTGTGAAATAAAAGGATTTGAATTTTTATAGAGTTGTAAATTCAAGGTCAACGGATCATATGACACTTGCAGATTTGCACAGAGTGATGAACAAATTTTGGATTGTATTCAAGATATGTCTCCCCTTTTACACTGATGTTTAGTCTACTTACTGTGCTGGAGAGTAAATCTAACTTACTTCCAAGCTACTTAAAATTACATGGTTTATGACACTTATTTTGAAAAGCTACTTGTACTTAACAGAACTTTTTTTTTCCCTGAAATCTTCAAGTCTTAAGCATAGCATTGTAAGTGTTATGCCCTATATCCAATCAACTTTAGACATAAACACATTTAATATATATATATAATTTATTCAATTTTATGTCAGATCTATTATTTAATTAATATACAATTAATTAATAATAGAGTCCGTAGATTCAGATTTTAGTAATTTGTTAATTACGAAGAGTTGTGATTGTGAGATACAAATTACAAAATGACATAATCTTAAATTATCAGTGGTTGTAAGTAATAATAAGATTCGGATATCGTTATTATGTATAGATAGGGATGTCAATGTGGCTCGCCGGCTCGTACGACTCGTGGCTCGGCTCGAGCACCATTTCGGGGCGTCAACTCGAGCCCGAGCTGAGCTTTAAAAAAATAGCTGCCTGCACCTTAACAGAGGCAATGTGCTTCCTTTGACGGTCTCGGACAAGATAGCTGTAGTAGCTTTGCTTTTTTTTTTTTTTTAATTTGAATTTGAAATTTAAATGTAGTTGAAACGAATACATTTTTTGCTATAAATATGCAATAAAATTATGAACTTCATATAAATTTACTTTAATCAATCTCCAATTTCTTTACTCTAATATTCAAAATTCTAATCTCCAATTTTTTTACTCTAATATCCAATTTCGTTGAGTTTCATAAAATTTTACAATATTCTGATTTCAATTTCAATCTCCAATATTCAGTTTCTTTTACTCTAATATTCAATATCTTTTACTATAATAACTGTAGATGAATTTTACTATTAATGAGATTAATCAGTTTAAGGATAGTTCGAGTACTCCATTCAGCTATGATACATCTAAAAATGTTCCAATTGATTTGGAGGATATCAAAGAGGAAGAATTACTTGAGATTAAAAGGTCGAAAAAAATCATCGGATTATTGGCAACATATGACATGTAAAAAAGTTGGTGTTCAAAATAGAGTTAATTTTTGGAAAGCATGTTGTAATAACTGTGGCAAAGAATTTAGTTGGAAGCCTGGTTCAAGCAAAACGCATTTGAATAGGCACATATTAAGAAGTTATAAAGCAAAATAGTCGGTCTTGACCCGAAACAGACCGAACTAATATTTAGCGGTTCTGGTTCTACTCTTTCCACCTTTGTATATTCATGAGAAATATTTCATGAAGGAATTCGGCTGCATACGTTGCTGAGCAGAGATGCCGCTTACGATGATAGATTCAATAAACTTTACCCAACTTGTGCAAAATTATCTCCAACCTAGATATACTTCTTATTGTAGAAATACTCTTTGTTCATATTCTATAAAATTATATAACAAAGGAAATCAAGTTGCTATTGAAAGTCTAAAAACTTTTAATAGTGTTATATCGTTTAACTTTAATTTATGAACCGGTGTTAATAAAAAATGTTATATTGCTGCTACCACTCATTACATTGATCACATATGGATTATGTATAAAATGATTATTGCATTCAGATGTGAAGAATATCATCATAATAAATAAAAAATGTTATATTGCTGCTACACCTCATTACATTGATCACTTATGGCTTATGCATAAAAGGATTATTATATTCAAATGTGTAGAATATCCTCATAATGCCACTGACATATACATGGTTTTAAAAGATATTATACAAGAATATGGCATACAAGAAATTGTTCGAAGTTTTACTTTTGATAATGCTACTGCAAATTGTTATCGAAAAATTTATTCATGATTTTGATCTTGCATTTGGATGTTTATTTTTTTTTATCAAAATTGCGTATCCCAACTTATGTATCACATAAATGGAACTCTATATATCTTATGTTACACTCGTGTGAAAATTATGATAAAGTTATTACAATGTATTATAATGGTAGGCATAGATATGGACCCGAACATAATTTGGAAGATTGAGAATGGTCTCTTGCATTTGTGTAAAAAATTCTTAAAACCTTTTTTCAATACCAAAAAGGAATGTAGCGGTGTTTATTACCTTACATCCTCACTTGTTTTAAAACTTTTTTTTCACATTTTATAAATTTAGGAATTTGTCAATTTTTGCTGATATAGTTTTTTTAAGGAGTTAAAATTTCGTAAATATTGAAAAGAGTTGTCATCTTTATTTCTATTAGGTTCGGTGATGGACCATCAACTTAATTTAACTAGCACAAAAGCTGTTATAAATGAGATTTCAAATTTCATGAATGTGGAATTACCACGTGCATATAGAATATGTGTTATGTAAAATGTATAACTATTACGCTGACAAAAGAGACCATGGTAGTTCTACTTCCTAAAGTTCGTTTTCAATAAATATTTCAACAAATTCAGATGATATATAAATTATTTAGACATCAATACAAGTGTTCCCTCATTTTGTTCTGGTTCATCAATATCTAAAGTAATAGATGCCAGGGGTACAAATCTTGAAGTTCCCTCTGAGTTAGTTAGGTATATATGCGTGGACGTTCGTAGTGTATTGCAACCAAAAGAATTATAGAAAATTAGATTTTTATCATGGTGGAGGTGTAATGAAAGACAATATTCAATTGTATCTAAAATTACACGCGATTTACTAACACTTTTGGTGTCTACGATAGTATCGAATGTTGCATTTAGTTTAGGTGGTCAAGTTTTATCAAGCAAACAATCAAGACTAAAAGAAGATATATTAGAGGCTTTAATATGCTTGAAAGACTGGGAATGTGCGAAATTACATATCCAAGAACAAGTTGATAGTATAATGGTCGAAGAGTTGCAGCAGATCCAATAATAGGATATTGTAAGTTTTTAAATTGATTAGTTTTAAAAAAATACGTAATTTTTAAATTTTTTTGTTTTAAGAAAAATTGTACACGAAATATCTTATTCGTGTACAATTTTAACTTTACCTACAATGATTGTAGTCGGCCTCAAGCCTAAAATAATTGAGGAGGGTAGTAACTTTTATTTAGGTTATAATACTTATAAATTGCACAAATTTTAATTTTAAAAAAAAATTAGATTTTCACGAATTAATAAAAAAAACTATTCGACTCGCTAAGGCCCGAGCCAAAATCCTGGGTCGAGTCTAAATTTTTTGGCGTCGGGCCAAAAAAAGCCCAAACTATTTTTACTCGAGTCGAGCCCGAGCTTCGAGTTTCGGCTCTCGACAAGACTCGTTGACACTCATACGTATTTGTTATTTGTGAAGTAAGTAGCTAATTTCAGAAGCTAAAGTATAGTGTGGTGACACTTAAATGAACATGTGAATGTTTTGTTATAAGGAGACCCCTTGGAGATTTCTCATGGATAACGGTAATGGAATTTGTCCTTTGACATGAGGTCATCATAGTGTTTTATATGAGGACAATCATACTTTGGTAATGTTGGATGTTGCTTTGCCAAGGGTCGCTAATACGATATCGTTCGGATATGTTAAGAATCATATGAAGGTTGTGAATGATCAATAGAGGATTCGTCACTCTTAAATAATAAGATATTATGATTTATATTTCATTCAGTTAAGTTAATTATGAAATCCAAGGCAAATGTGTACTCATAAGTCAAAAATGAGTTTTAGACTTACATTAGCTTAATAGTGGGATGAAATATATGGTCGATAATTGAGATTGATGCATATCCATATCTCATAATTGATCAGCTCATATTGACGAATGGATTATAGTTTCACGGTAAAAGAACAAGTTTAATTCACATGTACTGCCATGACACATTGCTTGACGTCAATCTGGGATGACGAATGTGAATTGATGATAAATTAAAAGGAGGTATTTTAATTTAACAATTTTGATTAGATAAAAAAAAATACTTCAATTGTTAGGTATCGTGATAAGGAACCTAATGGGTCACACACAAAAGAAGAACTAGAAGAATGAGATTCGCCAATTAATTAACAAGTGTTGGACAAATAATTAATTAGGTTGCTTGTTAATTTGTCCGAATTAATTAATCAATTAATTCAAGAACTAAAATTAATTAATTGGATTAATTAAATATTGGATTGAGTTACGTTTAAAAAATGGGTCAAACCCACTTGGACTTATATTAATAAATCATTAGGGTTTTAGAAAAATAGAAAAAATATTATTCATATTCTTGCTAACACAATAAAAGAGAAACCCTAATTCTCTCATTTTTGTTCCCTGTGTGGATTTTTATTGGAGGTTGGACAATTGGATAGTTGTGGATTGTAGATAGTGATTATTCGTGTTCCAATATCAGCAAAAGAGTTTGCAGAATCTATAAAAGATATAATTTCTATTACAATTTCTTTCTAAACATAAAGAAGATCATTGATAGGAATTGAATTTTTTTTTTTTCCGTGTGCATGTTAAGTAAATTCTCAATAGTGGTATCAAAGACTACTTTGTATTTGTTAAAATTGTTTGTTAATATTGGAACAATCAATTGTTGATTTATTCTTGGGTTTGCAACTTTTAAGAAAATTTGATTTTCTTGTTCCTAATTTGATTTGAGGAAAAAATAAAAAAACAAGGATCGGAATAGAGGTAGCGACGAACACGCCACAGGAAGGGCGGCAGTACACACCGTTGGAGCTAGCCGAAAGGTGGTGCTCGTTGTCTCTGTGATATACAGTGGCC